TATAATCGCAGCCGAACAGAAGGTGGTTTCAGAATTCCAAACTTTGCCATTGAGGGTATTGTATCTTTCGACGAAGCACTTTCTAGATACGAATCTAGCAACTTCATGGAGATCGAGGAATTGGAATTTGATAATGGACCTAAACTCTTGGAAAAGCCACGAACTCTCTTGTTGGGTTGGGAGAACGACAGTTTTAAAGACGGATTTCATCTTTCTGCACTGGATTCACCCACAGAAATCAACATGTTTTCAGACGATGATTACCAGCTTTGCCTGCCCGATAGGTTCATATCTCCCAAAACTCGCCCCAACTCTCCATATTACCTTTTAGATGGCGTTTTTACTCCTTATATCGATAGATACCGTGAAGAAAAACATTTTCCGGCGGCGTCTGCGTACACTCCAAAACATCTTACGCTGCCGGTAGAAGATTGCAGCATCGACATGCCTCCTCAAGATTACATTTGGTCCCCGAATTATGAGTCGTTAAATGAGAAAGAACACAATGTTGGTTCAGAAGCTTTTCTGTTCCTGATTCAATCGCCTGCCGATAACCTCGCACGCTTTCTCAACACGGGCTTACGTTCGTTTGTTGTCAATGATGAAAAAGTGTACGGCCTGGATCGTTTCATGGAAGGTAGGGTGAAGGATTACCATCCATTTAGCTGCATGGAATCATTTCATGATAAACATTTTGATCACATTGGGTACCCTTTGCTGCTTCATGATTCAAGCAAGAATGAAAGGAGATGATTTCAGTTGAATAAGATAAATGTGGGTTTAGTGAAATGTGGAACCAGGATTTTTATCCAACAAATGCATCATTAAATTGCCGCTCAATATGTTTTTAACCTAATTTCAACGTTTTAAGAGATTTTTTTAAACGCATGCAATTTTTTGTTTTTTCAGTTGATTTCGAATGAATTTGAACAATTTAAAATAAAATACAAACAATGCCTAGCTTTATATTATCAGTTTAAATTATAATACAGTCTGAAATTCTTTACAAGAAAAATACGAACTAATTTTTTTTTAACATTATAACTTTTTAATGGATAAAATAAACAATTTAAACAAATTCAGATATTTATCGATTTTCAAAATCAAATAGTATTATTGATACTACATCTAATTAGAAAAAAGTAAATATTCAGACTAGTGGTGACGTGCATGAATCTGGTTAAGGAAAATACAAAACAAAAGCGAATTAAAATTAAAAGAAAAAACAAAAATAAAAATGGATGCTCATGATATTTGCACAAGTGTCAAGTTTTCATTGGTTGCTTTCTTTGTATTAAAAATAAAGAAAAAAGTAAATGTTGAGAGTGGGATTTGAACCCACGCCCTTTCGGACCAGAACCTTAATCTGGCGCCTTAGACCAACTCGGCCATCTCAACTTGTTGTTTATTTTTTCACTTCTATTTTAATATGTACAAATCATCATCATATTTTTTTAAGCCACAATTATCAGATTTAATTAAAGCTAAAAAAAGTCAGGTTTTTACTCATTTTCGAAAATATAATTATTTCAATATTTAGGGGGTGTTTAGAATTGCTTATTTGAAACAACTTATACTTTTCTACAAAATTATTTATCAATTTATTATAAGTCAGAAGTGTTTAACTTCTTCAAAAACTTCTTATTAACCGGTTTGACACGGGTATAAATTGTTTATCCAAACACTCAAAAATGCTTATTACTGGTTGCACACCAAAATAATTCAATAAGTTGTTTTTATAAGCAATCGCAAACACCCCCTTAATTGATAATTTTTAGTAATTAATATGTATATATAAATTATTTTAATATCTATTTATTTAGTAAAAACTTTTAAAAGTAACTTGTTAAATGTCAGGTGTCTATATTATATTATAAAGTATTTGACAAAAATTCTTAAAAACTATTTTTTATGCATGAAATATTGTATATTAATGCATATTACTTAGAATCAAGATTACAAGTAAATTATACATAAGTACAACTTATTAAAGCTTCATGTTTGAATTCGTGTAACTAACTGCGGATAAATATAATCAAATAAAGAATAAACATCTTATTTTAAAATATAAAGAATCTAAAATATAATTAAGATAATTATCGATATCTAACAAAATATAAATTGCTTTGTTATTGAACATATATTAAATTATAATAAAATATTAAATTAAAAAAAATACACAAAAAAATAGAAAATTTAAATAGTTAATTTGATACTAATATTGATATATTTTTGTCAAATTTTTATTATATCTTCAATTTTATATTTTATTCAAAAAGAAAAACATTATCACTTTTTCAAAATCACATAACACCCTACTATAATATTGAATGAGATAAAGAATAAAATGAAATATTAAAATCAAAATGTATCTCGCTGCATTGCGCGAGTACCCTTCTAGTTGTTTATTAATATATAATCTTTTAAAAATTAAATTGGCAGCAACATCTTTAACAGATTCTTTAAAATACAGTTTTTGTTCTCTATATTGCTCCAACAGATTATCCATCTTATACAACAGGGAAAGATAAAGAAAACTCCAAATATGAGAATTATTATTTTAATATTTGCTCACCCTTGAAACTGATTTATTAGTTTTTTTTATATGAAGTTCTTTTTAACTGTATTAAAATGACAAATATATAAAGTTATTTAATCATATAAATGATGTTGAAATTCTCTAAAATAAAGAATTTGTTGAAGTTGAATGTAATTTTTTTTTAGAGATTTTGACTTTTAGTTCTTTATTTTAGAGAAATTATATAGAACTTGTCGAAGATGCTCTTACTTTATATTCACATTTTAAACCTCCATATCTGAACTCCAAAAAATTAACTGAATACAAAAAAAAAAAAAACAGTCAGCTTCATTAATATAACATAAGAGTAGTTATTATATAGAAAAGACCCATGCATACAGATATATATTGCTTTCCATATCATTTATATATGAAACACGTATAAAAAGCTAGTATATAAAAACAATTAAAGAGTTTAAAGAAAATCTAACGGATTTTTTCATCTAGATAATTAACCAAACATTTACCCATGTAAGTGTTTATCAAGTCATATTACTTTACCGGATAAATATAACAAAAACCAAGAATTTTATTCGATAAGAGCGAAGACAAAGACAATGAGTCTTACATGGTAAGCGAGTGTGATGACTCTTAACACGATTAGCCTACCGAGTAAATCATTGCATATGATACTGTTGTGATAGACCAAAATCTTACCCAATAAGTAAGATACATCATCATCAATTTTGAAATAAAAATAAAAATAAAATGATTGTAAAAAGTCAGAAAGTCAAAAGTATAGAAAAGAAAAGAATGATAATATTGTCACATGCAGCCCCCTTTTTACCCTACTGCCTCACAGTCAGAGAGTACTATTTTGGTATTTTTCACCAACGCTAAAATTAATAGATATCAGATTCACGTTGACTATTTATATTAAACTAGAAGGGTATTCGTGTAATGTAACGAGATACATTTTAAATTTAATGTGATGTTTTATTTTATGTGGTTTTGAAAAAAATGATAACATTTTTATCTTCGAATAAAATATAAATTTTAAAATATCATAAAATTTTGAAGAAAAATATATCAAATTAACTATTTAAAATTTCTCGTTCTTTTGTGTAATTTCTTTAACTTGATGTTTTTTTTATTATAATTCAATTTATGATTAATAACAAAGTAATTTATTTTTGGTTTAATAATATAATTTTTTATAAAGATAATAATTAAGTATTTTTGTTAGAACTCAATAATTATTTTTATTAATGAGATGTTTATCTTATATTTGATTATGTTTATCTGCAATTAGTTACACGAATTCAATCATGGAGCTTTAAGAAGTTGTACTTATGTACAATTTACTTGTAATCTTGAATTTTAAGTAATGTACATCAATAAACAATATTTCATGTATAAAAAAATAGTTTTTAAAAGTTTTTGTCAAATGCTTTATAATATGGTATATATAGTATAGATAATTAAATTAATATTAGGTTATATAATTATAATAAATATAAAATAACCAACAAATATTACTGTTTTTTAAAATACATAATACCATAAATCAACTTTAACACATTTGATGATGGTGAACCTGAACACATTAAACTTTATCAGTAATTCGGATACCGCTGATATAAAAGTCCATTTGGTGATTAATACTGTTGTGATATGCGAATTAAAGAAAGTAAAAAGACGAACGAACTCTCCTATCTTGATCAAATAAACAATTAAACTTTCTCATTTTGAATGATTAAATTTCTGAACATTTTTTTATAAATAAACAATCAAGCTTCTAGAAATTGGTTGTATACATTATTTTAACCTTGAACTATCATTAATCGTGTAGGAAGTTTTAAAATAAAGAAAAATATAAATCAATTTTACCATTATCAAATACGTCATAAATACCTTTTGCACCAAACATCATCGCTCCCCCTTGTCGCCCGCTCTCTATCACCGTCTTTGGACCCCTGCAATCGATCTCTCTCTTTTTTATCATGTTTTTCAATTTTTTTATCTATCTATATGTAGTCAATTAATATGCTGTAAAAGAGGAAAATCAATGATAGAGGCCAACGGCAACAATGGTTGGTATAGTAACGGACAACTATGGGGAGCGATATCAATTGGTGCAAAATCAATGATAGAGGCCAACGGCAACAATGGTTGGTATAGTAACGGACAACTATGGGGAGCGATATCAATTGGTGCAAGGAGTTTGAATGACATCCAGGTTGGGAATGCAAAAACTGATTTAAGTTCTTTTTACTTTAGAACTTTTCCAGTCCATTAACGTAACTGTTTTTAACTTTTCTTTTTGAAGTATATAATATTTATATACAGCAAATGCAACAAATAAACTCACACAACCTTCTCATCTTTGATGAGATTTGAACCCCTGGGAGGTCAACGGCTACGATGCCGCTAAGCTCCCATAAATAACTATCCAACTTTATATATATTACTCAAACTCAAAGACAACCAAAGGAAATTAGTTCAAGATTTGATAACTTTGGTAGCATCCCCAAATCTATATTCATGTGATTCAAGCAAATACTTGAACTACAAGTAGACAAAAAACATGAGTGATGATCTTCTCATGTTCTTCCCCTTCTATAATCAAATCCATAATAACTTAGAGAGATAAAAAATAAACAGGGGAAGATTGTTGCTACAGACCATGCTCCATGGATCCAGAAATTCGGTATATGTTGCAAGCAGAACAAACGAACCAATTCCCGAAAGGCGTATCCATGTCCAGTTACTCGTGCTTATTTTTCGCTTGACGTATTTTCATTGAATGATCTGTTCTACTTTCACCAAAAGAGCCATTTTTTGGTTGTTGGAGCTTTAACGCTCGTTGGTTCGTCGTCCTTTTTCCTATTTTCGAGTCCTTGCTTCAAAGCCTCCATTCTTTTCCTGTATAAAATGTCTGCATCTTAGCATCATGTTGAATTGGTTTTCTTAATGGAAGTTTACTGTTAAGCACATCAAAGGGTCATAAAAGTATCTTCAAGGTTATATAAAGACGTTACAATAGGTTTTGAAAAATAATCTGCTAGTTGAGCTAGGAGTTAAAACAGAGGCGGACCTAGAGATTGTTTCAAGTGGTGGCACGATCTGATTATAACAAAAATATCTATTTTTTCTTCACTAGTATACATCTGTTGGTTGGTTTCTTGTCTCTGCGTAGAACAAACCCATGTTCAAATCTTGTCTACATATATTTTTTAAATTCACAACAGGTATATTAGATAAACACCAAAATTTGACAAAACGAGAGCCTTTTGTACAAAGGCAAGAGTATTAATATCTTATGCTAACATTTCAGTTTCAAAAACTATATGGTGACACCCAACAAAACAATACGGTGACACTGTTGAGAAATGTAATTTCTTCCCCTTACAATCTACGTAGGTCTGCCCCTATGTTAAATATAGCTTCTTTAACCGTGGGTAACCACTCCTATGAGTACCTGAAGTTAACAGTCAAACAAACCCTCTAGTGGCCCTGAACAAACTTGAACCGATGATCGGGAACATACCAAGGTCTTACAAGTTAAGCTACCCAGAGGGTCAAGAATTCAATATACCGGTGGGTAATTGAGAGCAAGGTTCTAAATTGGTGTGAGGTGTGGTGGTGAAGCCAAGCCTCAAGCCTTAAGAGCCACAGCGAGGCCACGACGTTTTTCAAGGCGTGACTTATGACGGCAAATCTCTATATCATACATAATATTGTATGTATGTGTGTGTATATATATATATATATATAAACGTATGTTTTCTACTATTACTCAATGAGTCAATGATAATAAGCAATTTAAATCAAGTTGTATATTAAAAACTAACAAACAAGACATTAAAAAGGTAAGAAAAATCAAATATCGTGCTACAAAAAGCACGCATTAGGCCATCGGGTGCCACGGGCTTGGCATGAAGCACAAGCCTTGAGCCACCGCGCGCCATGGCGGATGGTGCAACGAGCCATTTAGAACAGTGATTGAGAGCCATGAATACTTGTTTAACCCTCTATTATTGATATATAATTTGTGAACTCGACCACATAAATTAATCTATTTGGCCACTATGCCTTGTTAGGGAACATGTTTTGCCACAGGTCTTATTTTCCAGTAAAAGTTTGACATTATTGACACATTTTCCCTTGATGACCATTGAACATAACATCATTCTAGCAAGGAAACATGAAGTACAGCAGGCAAACAAACAATTCTAGAGTAAAGTGGTCAAAAGCCTATTTTACTTGATAGTAGAGAGGTCCAACAAATATTCTTTCCACATCTAAGAAGATGAAACAAAATATCATAGATGGTTGATGATTAATGCGTTTGCAGCAACTTTTTCACAAAATTCCTACATGTAAATAAAGATGAACCCATGGTCAGATTTATCGATATTACCGTGCCTTTTGTGCATATTTATGACAAATGGGAACCATTAACTATTTGTTGACTAAGAATTCCAGTCACTCGAATGCCCCCGATCAGTGCAATGGGATGTGTCTATTACTCTATTTATCTATCTCTTGAATTAGTAGTCACTACCTGAGCCACAGAAGATGCTTTTTGACCAATTGCTACATATACAAATATTTCATTTCCTAACCATTTCAAAAACATGTCACTCTTAAGGGCCTGTCTGTTAGCAAATTAAAGGACTTAATGGGACTCACAGCTTATTCGCCAGCTATACATGACCGTTTAGTAGTGGCTTAATGATATAGAAAGTGGCTTGTTCGATTAGCTTTTAAAGGGAGCTTTGTGCAGAAAGTCCAAGTTTTTTCTAAACCTACCCCTCCCAATTAAAAAACACGCTCCTCCATCTAAGAAAAACCCTCACAAACAAAAATCTTTCCAATCTAAACAGACAGATTAATGCACAAAGACAACTTTATTCATACAGGACTTAATGGAAAACCAACCAAACAGCCCCTAAGCTGAATTTAACATCTATTTGGTAACTGAAAGAAGAATGAGAAATTCTAACTAATTATATCACAAGAAGATATAGGACAGTTCAGGTTTGACTACTCAAATCAGGCATTATTGATAAAAGACAATAGCAGGCCCAAACCCCAGCCATCATCTTTGGGACCCAAGGAATAATAGTAGGTATAACAAGATCTAGAGTTCCAAATTTTCAAGATAGATAAGGCTTTGCACCATTGATATTAAAGTTCTAATCTTCTTACGAAAATATGATATTAAGGGTGTGTTTGGTATCTAGACAGTATAGAACGGAACAGTTGTTCAGCGTTTGGTATAAGACATAACTGAACAAGACAGAACAGATAAATGACAATTTTACCCCAAATGAGTTGTTTATATGGTTTATATATTTTGATTAATTTATGTAATTTTTTAAGTTATAATAAAATAAATATTCTTTTTATTAAGTATATAATATTTATATACTGCAACTAGAACAAATAAACTCACACACCCTCCTCATCTTTGATGAGGTTTGAACCCTTGCCCTCCTAGGAGGCCAAGGATTCACATACTGCTAGGCCAAAGGCCCTTTGGTAAAATAAATATTCTTTATAACAAAACATATAATTAGAAAGTTTTCATCAAGACGATCAAAATGACACCAAAATAAATTGTTTATGTAGTTCCCAATTTTTATTTTATACCTTTTCTATACTATTATTTTTATTATTAATATTTAATATATTACATAAATTAATCAAAAATACATAAACCGTATAAAAATAATATTTTGAGAAGAGTAAGTGAAAGTTTAAAGAGCATAAAATACAATAAATAAAATTTAAAGAATGAATAAAATGTAACGAGTGATACGTAGTTGATATTTTAGAAGAGAATTAGGTTTTATTTTGAGGTTATATTGGTAAAATATAGGTTTATTCCACCTTGTTCCATGGGGTGAGGGTAGAACGCACCTGTTCCACTTTGCTCCATTTTGTTTCTGTTTATTCTACATAAAAGTTCTGCCAAACATGGAATAGTGATCCCTGTTTTGTTCTGACCGGTGTACAAAACGCCCCCTAAGTGAGAAGCTAAGGCTTTGCACCATCGATTTCCATTTACCAATATGTGGGTCATGAATTCAATGCATCAGATGATCGATAACATGTTATAATAGTTAATGAGCCAGTAGCTCGTGGTTTTATTAATCAAAATAGTTGTAAAACCAAGGCACCTCGAAGTTAGAAGGCCAGTGGATGCCTGCTGCACGAAATGGTAAGAAGGTGTGTGTAAATTTTACTTGGTATCAGTAAGACGGCCATGCAAACTCCATCTTTGGCGAAACCCTTCTGCACCTTCCATCCCGCTTGCAAGAATCAAGCGCCTGCAATGCATGTTATAAAAAGATGAGAATAAATGGTGTTTGATGCACACATAATGCAAGAAATATAATATATATATATATATATATATATATAACAATTGAAGTATTTGTAATAAGGACCCAGAAATGAATGCTTTCTCAACCGGAGGTTCAAAATTCCTTATATTTCTCATTTACACTTTCCGACCAAGTACCGTTGATTGATCACAATGATCCCATTAGATGGGTTACTTTTTATTGGCATTGGAAGCACATCACATTATGACAAAGACCCTAGTTAACCACTATGAGTCCAATAAACAAGAAATTTCTTAACCACAAGGGTTGTTGTGTAGTGGTTGAGGCCCACGGGGATGCGGTGGAATATCCCCTCTGACCTGGGTTAAATTCCAGGCGTCCAAGACAGTTGTGGTCACTGAGTTTATCAAGGCTGATGTCTTACAGACACAACTTGCCGGGATTAGTCGGGGCATAGCCGGGGACACCCTTCCAAAAATAGATAATAATGAAAAAACAAGAAAGTTCTTGGCACCAGACTAGCAGTTACCCAACAAGGCCCTATCAATTAGTATTACATAAGAGGTTGACATTTATTTTATCTGAAGGCAAAGATCCTGAAGTGGGAGAACACTAGGCCAAGTAGGCAAACAAGGATCAGCTGCATGTGGTCTTACTTCTTTTTATGCTAATTTTTAACCACTAAACATTTGAGGATGCTGATTTTTTTGCATTTTCATTAAATTATCAGTCTCCAATTTACTATGCAAAGTAAAGCTCGTCTTTTATTCAACAATCCAGATAAATAAAACAAAAAAACAAGCATCTTCACAGGAAATAATTTGTGAGAGACCAAAAAAATGAAAATGAAGATCAAGAAGACGATTGATAAGTGCAGAATTAGCATACCTCTCCAATGTTGTGGTTTCAGACTCAAGTTGAGAAGCTCTTTCTTTTGCTAGATCCAATGGCATTGATAACCCTAACTTATACTCGCTATCTTGAAGACGTTGTCTTAATTCCTTGTCCTGTAAAATTCAATATTTTTATGTCACACCGCACACATCATCTAAATTATCTTTGCAATCTAAAATCACAAGAAGCACAAAAAATCTAAATTCGTTAGAAAGAAAACCCGTTTCTCTGCACACTCCCGATACAAAGCAATCTCTTCTTGACAAAATGGCTCTATATCATTAACTTGCAGACCTATAACAAGGATGAAGTATAAAGAAACCATAAAGAATAAGTTTAAAATCCATGTCTAAGGTGATCCGGAAACACAAATATTGACGAGAAACTTACACAAAAATAGGTTCCTCAAAATCCCATCACACAAATTAACGCCTTCGAGGACATGAGAAGCAATTTCAGGTGGAATGAGAGGTGATGGTGGTCCCAACATTAAATCATCTCCAACCAAAACCGTCTCCTCCATCATTGGTTGTGAGTCGACTGTTCGTTCACCAATACAAAAAGAACCCATTACTAAGGTTGTAAAAAGAAATTCCACACCAATCATTTCTTCAACTAATTCAACCCCTTGATCCAATGGCATTTAGGGATTGTTTAGTTGGTTTTCTATTAAGTCTTGTATAGATAAAGCTGTATGTGGGATTAATCTAAATGTATAGATTGGGAAGGTCTTTTTTGGGAGGGTTTTTCCATGGATGGAAGGGGTGTGTTTTTTTACTTGAAAGGAGCAGATTTTGAAAAACGTTTGGCTTTCTGCATAAAGCTCCCTCCTAGAAGCTTACTAAATAAGCCACTTTCTATATCATTAAGCCACTACCAAACAGTCATGTGTAGCAAACCAAATAAGATGTGAGTCTCATTAAGCTCATTAAGCCGCTAACAAACAGGCATTTAGAAACCCATATACTTGTTCCAATTAACATGAACACTTAATCCTTTCAAAATAAACATGAAGACTTAACATTATAAAGAAAATAAGTCAACAAATCATTTATCCATACAAGGGGTAGCAATACGAAAGCAAAATGAAGTTGCATAGCCAGTCCTTTCTTTCAATAATATATTGCTTGTTTAGTTTATTAGCATCTGGTATGCCATCAGTTGGTATTGAACATGGAAAATTCCAATAAGAAAAGTCATATGATGCAAAATCCGACATGAGTATATATAAAAAGAAAATGAACAAACATACCATCCATGATTGGTTCTTTTGATTTAACGTTCCCTGCAGATAGAGAGAAAATGGAATTAGTAAATGCTGTAAATTGGAATATCGAAATCGGAAGACCTCCATAAATGGGCTTAATCTGTCTATGATCTTTAATATGGATTCAATTCAATTGTGCGAAGCTCTAGCAAGCAATATATGTAGGTTAACATTTCAAATCTTGTAACAACAAAATCATAAACCCTAAACCCTAACATCCAAGAATATAAAGAGATGCTTTACCGTATAAATTGATGGGGGAGCCGAGCTATTCGCCGGTGACCGGAAAAATTCCGGTTAATTTGCCTATCTTTATCTCGATTAATTCACCTTTCTGCTTCGTTTCTGATTGTTTCAAGATTTTCCCCCTTCTAGTCTTGGGCGAGTAGACTCTAGGGTTCACTCAATTTGATTTTGATTTTTTTTCTGAATTCTTATTAAAAATAATCAGATTTAAATTATCAAACACTAAAAATTGTTACCGTAAGAAAACTCTGGGGAGTATAATTAATTGCATCAGTTTAACAGAACTCATGTCTTATTTGATCAGTTATATATGATCATTTGGTAATAATTTAATAATATAGAAAGTGGTTTATTCAGTAAGTTTTCATGTGAAATTTATATAAAAAATAAAGTTTTTTTTCACAAATATGTTTCTCTTAATTAAAAAACACGCTTGTCTCATCTATGAAACAACTCTCGTAACCAAAAAAAACTTCTCAACCTATATATACAAACAAATTTATCCATATATGACTTAATTAAAAATCAACCAAACAATCCCCGTGAGTGTTCTAGCTTTTAACAAGTTATTCGAGTTTGTTTATCTCAACTTAATAGTTTTTGAAATTGCATTTTTTTATTAACCTGGATATCCAACCCGCTATGCAGGCCGGTACTGGTATTTTTGAGACCTCCTAGTATTTTTGACCTTTGGAGTCAATCTCAAATCAATTAGGCACCACTCTTTATATTACTTAAAATTCAAGTATGTCTTTATTATAAAGCATTTGACAAAAATTCTTAAAAACCATTTTTTATGCACAAAGTACTGTTTATTGATGCATATTACTTAAAATTCAAGATCACAAGTAATTGTTTGTAAATATAACTTGTTAAAGCTCCATTTTTAAATTTGTATAACTAATTGCACATAAATATAATTTAATACACGATAAACATCTCATTTTAAATATAAAATATCTAAAGTATAATTAGAATAATGATTGAGTTATAACAGAATACTTACTAATTATCTTTATAAAAAATATAAATAAATTACTTCGTTATTAAACCTAAATTAAATTATAAAAAAATTGAATTAAAGAAACTAAACAAAAAATGAGAACTTTTAAATAGTTAATTTAATATTAATATCGATATAAATTTTTTCAAATTTTTATGGGGTCTTCAAATTTATTTTATTCAAAAATAAAACATTATCATTTTCTTAAAACCATATAACATCGTATTATGTCGACAGAGATAAAAAATAAAACAAACATTAAAATCGAGATGTACCACGCTACATTACGCAAATACGTTTCTAGTTTTTACATAACATATACAAATATTGTAGAATTGTTATATTACTATTAATTAATAATTTAATATTAAATAATAATTTAACACAATATATTAAAACTAGTATATAATTAAGTAATTATTAACTAATGATTTACAATTAATATTAACCAATAATTAACCACTATCATCAATAATTAAAGACATACTTAAAAGGAAGTGACAAAAAGCTCATATAAACTAACCTACAACCATCAAAAACTGTCTTTAAAAAACCTAAAAAAAAAAAAAACCTAATTTATATTTGTCAAAATACTTTGATTTTAATATTAATTCGAATTAACCGATTTATCCGTCAAAAAATATTTCATCTTTTGTATACGATAATTTTAATACGACTTTAAAATACACATGCAACATTTATTTTTCTACGTGACTTTTTAGATTTTATATTGCATTTGTTTATTATACACCATATTACTATATAAAATCTTTGAATCATTGATTAGTATTAGAAGGGTATTCGCACAATGTAGTAAGATAAATCTCGATTTTAATGTTTTCTTTTTTTGTCTCAGTTGATGTTATAATACGATTTTATGTGTTTTTGAGAAAATAATAATATATATATATACTATAATGGTACTCGCGCAATGCAGCGAGATACATATCGATTTGTATTTTTTGTCTCTGTCGATGTTATAATACGATTTTATGTGTTTTTAAGAAAGCAATAATGATTTTATTTTTAAATAAAATATAAATTTAAAAAAAATATATCAATTTTAGCATCAAATCAACTATTTAAAAGTTCTCATTTTTTATGTAATTTCTTTAGTTTATTTTTTATTATAATTTAATTTAAGTTTAATAATGAAATAATTTATTTTTGGTTTAATAATATAACATTTTATAAAGATAATAATTAAGTATTCTGTTAAAACTCAATGATTATCTTAATTAAATTTTGGATTATTTATATTTAAAATGAGATGTGTATCCTGTATTTGATTATATTTGTCTGCAGTTAGTTAAACGAATTCAGATATGGAGCTTTAATAAGTTGTACCTATATGCAATCTACTTGTAATCTTGAGTTTTAAGTAATATGCATTAATAAACAGTACTTTACGCACAAAAAGTGGTTTTTAATAGTTTTTGTCAAATGTTTTATAATATAGTATATATATATTATTTTTTAATAAAATATAAATATGAAAAAATTGATATTATTAACAAACTAACTATTTATAATTTCTCGTTTTCTGTGTACTTCTTTAATTAATTTTTTTATTTTTAGTTTAGTAATACATTTTTTATAAAAATAATAATTAAATATTTTATTGAAATTCAATGATTATTCTAATTATATTTTAGATTTTTTATATTTGATTATGTTTATCTGCAGTTAGTTACACGAATTTAAACATGAAGCTTTAATAAGTTATACATATGCATAATTTATTTGTAATATTGAATTTTAAGTAATATGCATCAATTARCAGTACATCATGCATAAAAAATAGTTTTTAAGAGTTTTTGTCAAATATTTTACAATATAGTATAGATTTCTAAAGTATAATATTATTAGAATTTTAAATATTATTATTCAGATAAAAGGTTTAAAAGATTTTGATATATAATAAGCCATGTTTATATTTAAAATATTTTTATATCATGTTTTTAAAACTAAAATTTATATATATAAATAAATTATAAAATCGATCTTAAAATATGATATATTAATAAACATTTTTAATAGGTGATGATTTGGAGTTTGAGGATAAATATGCTCCAAATTTATTTTATATTTAATGGAAAAAAAAAAATAGAGATGTTTGGTTGGATGGTGGGGTCCATCTGCAACAAGGTCAACTTCACTGTTCCAACGGTTCTGATCACTTCAGACATTTCAATTCTTTTTATATATTTTACACAGCCTTTTTTGCCAGCTTGTCAAACTGCTTATTTTTCATTATTTATTTATTCTTTATAATTTTTATTCTTGTTTTATAAGAGTTTCTCTAACAGATTTTTAAAAGAAGAAATTGCATTAAAATAATAATGTAATTTAACTTGATTCTTATTTTGAATAACGTATTTTTAAAACTTTCATTTTAGTATAATAAAATTTAAAGTTTTAAACATTTAAGTATCCAATTAAAAGTAAATTGGTTGATAACTAAAAAAAGACTAGTTTCTAGTTAATAAAGAGTTATATTTAGTAAAAAGTAGCTAATAAGTTTTTTTTTTAATATATAATATTTATATACGACAAATACGACAGATAAATTCACGCACTTCTCTCATCTTTGATGAGATCCGAACCCTTGACTTATTGGGAGACCAAAGGTTTTGCCAAAAACCTTTTGATAAACTAGAAAGATATTCGTGCAATAAATCAAGACACATATCAGATTTCATTGTTTTGTTTCATTCTTTATCTATGTCGATATAATACGGTTTCATGTGGTTTTGAGAAAGCGCTAATATTTTTATTTTTGAATAAAATATAAATTTGAAAATCTCATAAAATTTTGAAAAAACTATACTGATACTAATATCAAATTAACCATTTAAAAGTTTTCGTTTTGTGTAATTTCCTTAATACAATTTTTTAATATAATTTAATTTAACGTAACAAAGTAATTTAATTTAGGTTTAATAATATATTTTTTATAAAGATAATAATTAAGTATTCCATTAGAACTCAATAATTATTCTAATTATATTTTAGATTTTTTATAATTAAAATAAGATGTTTATTCTGTATTTGATTATGTTTATTTGCAGTTAGTTACACAAATTCAAACATGAAGCTTTAATAAATTATACTTACGCATAATTTACTTTTAATCTTGAATTTTAAGTAATATACGTGAATAAACAGTACTTCATGCAAAAAAATTGAATTTAAAATTTTTTGTCAAATATTTTATAATATAGTATAAATAGCTAATAAGTTAAATAACAATACAAAATAAACTACAAAACAGAGAAAAAAATAGAATATATGATATAATTAAAAAAATATATTATTAGTAATCATGAATTGAGTAATAAATATAAGATAAAATAAGAAAATCCGTTTGTTTTTGTGTTGCTACAGATTACTTGTACAATAATTGTACTCTGATTAGATGAAGTTTCATATTTGCACCGGCAACCCTTTAAGTTGTATGATTAATAAATGTGGGCATGGTTTATTTTGGACCATATTACCCACACATTTAATCACGCATATTTAAGTTGTTTTCATTTATTAATTTCAAGACATATTACAAGGGTATTTGCACAATACAACGATATATATATATATATATCTCGATTTTAATTTTCGTTTTTTTGTCTCAGTTGATGTTATGATACAGTTTTATGTAGTTTTGAGAAAACGATAATGTTTTTATATTTTAATAAAATATAAGTATGAAAATATATCATAAAAAATTAAA